TGAAAAACGTCATTATCCATAATTCTGACAAAAAAGTCCACCAATCAGAGAAACATGTTAAAGAGCAGAAGCCCTGGTAATAAACTACATTACCCATGATTATGACAAAAAAAAATCTCCACCAAATAGAGAAATGTGTTGAAGAGCATTGTTAAACAGTGTGCTAAATGTATGTGTGTTAAACAGTAAAATTTGTGTTAAACAGTAAAATTCCTGTTGATAAACTACATTACCCACGACTTTGCCAAAACCCCCCACCAATCAAAGAAATGGGTTTAACAGTAGAAATCCTGGTGAAAAACTACATTACCCATAATCCTGACAGAGAATTGAATGTAGCAAATAGATTAGTACAATCACAATGACTTTAACGCAATTAAATGTTTTTTTTTTTTTTTTTTGTAAATCACAATGGGAGAAATTAATTTTAAAGAAATTAAAATTAATTAATAAAAAAAATGCATCCGAAATGAACACCACTGATAAAAGTAGCACCTTATAAGAGTGTTGACAGACAGATGAGCATATTGACAGACCATGATAGAAAACTCATGAAAGTATTGAAGATGCTGTGGTTGTTTGCTTTTTAGATTGCCCAATGAGCCAGTGGAGGACGATGAAACCCATTCGACAGTTTCCTTTACTAGAAGAACCTTTTCCTTTCAAAGCAGAAGCTGATCAATAATCTGCTGTAAGCTGAAGGAAATGCAGGACACAATCCAAAAAAAGAGCACTTCTCTAATCACACGAATGCTTCACTCAAATGCTGAGTCATTTCTGAGGTTTTTTTTTTTTTACTTAACATTAGCTTGCACATGACAGACAAATCAAACTAGCATAGTACAAACAGGAAATGAACATGTATGAGAAATGAGTTTTAAAGGTTCTTGTTCAGGATATTTGACTGTTTAGTGGAACAAATTTGGTAGACACTGCTTTTTAAAGGTTTGGTTCAGTCCTTTATTTTGTTTGTTGAAAAAACAACAACAAGAAAAACGTAAAATGTGAAATCTTTGCTGGTTTTTAAGCTGTCTGTTAACTAAATAATCTGGCAGATATGCAGCATAGTTTTCAGAAAACATTCACAGTAATTCACGTTTCTTAAGTATCAAATCATATTTCTAAACGATCAGGTGACGCTGAACACTGGAATAATAACCATGAAAGAACATGGGAATAAATTAAATTGTAATTACATAATATATTTTTTCAAATACATTTTCTATTTTTTTAGAATATATTAATATTCAATTCATCATTATTTCTCTAGCGCTTTTACAATGTAGATTGTGTCAAGGCAGCTTAACATAAAAAGTTGTAGTAAACAGAATCTGTGTCAGTCTAGTTTTCAGAGTTGAAGTTCAGTTTAGTTAAGTGTTTTAGTTTTCACTGCTGAAAGTCCAAACACTGAGGAGGAAAACCATTGATGCACAGCTCCACAAGTCCCGAACCAAGCAAGCCAGTGGTAACAGTGGCGAGAAACAAAACCACCAATTGACAAAAGTGAAGGAAAAAACCTTTAGAGAAACCACATTCAGTTGGGGACAATTATTTCTCCTCTGGCCAATCCTCTTGTGCAGAACTGCAGTCTAGTTTATTACTAACAAATTTATTATTAACATCATAAATGATGTTAATGTTTTTACTGTTGAATAGATTTGCACCCCAACTGTTTAAATAGCAGAGTAAGCTTTTCCTCATAAACTCAAAAACACCTACAGTTATCAGCATCTGTCTAGGAAATGACCAATAGTCTTCTGCCATTTTAAAATTCCATTTGAAACTATGAAAACATCTGAAATTGCACTTTATTTGATCACTTTTAAAAGAAAAACATACTGAGACATTTTACTCTTAATACAGGATAATTATCCCCTTTAATGAATATGTAAGGCAGCTATACTAGAATGTGAGCTATTTATAGAGCAAGCATTAAAAATGAGATTTGCTGTCCGCTTGCAAAGCTAGCCGATTCTGCATTTCTGAGAATGCTGTCTTTTTTTTATTACCAAATTGCTGTAACATTACACAAAGCTTTTTGTCTGATTTTGTTTTGTTTTTTAAATAAAAATAAAGCTGTATTTTAACCAAGCTGCATAATTTCACTCTCTCTTGTGAAGCCAACATGGAAGTAACTGAAACTGCAATTCATCAAAACTCCGCTAGTCCTGGCTCCATAATGGAGCAAATTTCTATTGATCCTAAATGTTAAAATGGGCAACTTTACAGCAGAAGAAAAGATGTTTACAGCCTGGTACAAAAAACAACAACCCGATTTTGTGCATAAAGCTAATATTACACTTCATGACAACTGTGAGGGGGGTAAATTCTTTTATAACTCATCCGTTTCGTTTATATTAAGTTTGCATAATTAAGGGCAAGGTCACTTGAGTGACAGCTAAGTCTCGCTGGTTGCCTTCACGTCACCTCAGCCGCTGAACTCGACATATACATCATATTCTTGTGCTGTTGTATGTGGCTTTACACAATCAATTGCCTTTTGGAATTATTTCTTACAATTATTAGAAAACAAGGCATGCTGTGTGCACTTCATTGTGTTCACAAACCATTCAATTAGCTTCCATTTCGCATGTGAATGAAATTATATACCATATCTATAAATGTATTTGTTTTATTTAAGATGGTTTATGATTTGTATTTTTCTTTTGACCAGTAATGCATTCCAGAATCTGACAGATTGATTAGCTGTAGGCCAGGCCCGGATAGGCCAATCGGAAGGACCGGGAGAGTTTCCCTGTGGGCTGGTCCGTTTTTTAACCGCGAGGGCCGGTGTTTCTAGCTGCTTGCACTCTCAGCAGTCGCACTTTTTTTTCCATTTATTTATTTCTCTGACCATAGCCTCACTCTTTTTATTCATTATTTTGCCGCAGCTCCGCTCTTCTTATTTATTGTCTCACAGCCCCATAAGCAAAATGCAGCCTGCATGGTGATGATGATGTAATTATTATTCCGGCCACACAACTGTAACAGCGTCATTGTGGTCCAGTGGTCAGCACGTTGCGTTACGACGTCAACGATCCGTGTTCGATCCTCACCTGAATAGTTTTTTTTTTTTGTCATTTTTATCGTTAAGACATATAAAACTGTAAGGTTGTTGAACGTTTGAAGTTCTAAAGGAGCTGTTTTCTTGAAAAAGATGTGATAGTGTCATTAGAAAATAAATTGGAAATTACCTTATTTTAATATAGTCAGTCGTGAACTGAGGTGGGCCGGTCTGCTTGAAACTCCAGGGCTGAAAAGGGAGTCCCACTCCGACCCTGCTGTAGGCTCTAGAATAGTCATTTGAAACGTGTTATGCCTGGATTTCATAAACAGCCTTGCATTTACTAACAAAGAGTATAGAGTAATTTGCGTTTTCCTCTTGTAGAAGAATGTTTAGTGGCTCAATGTATTACAGCAGTGTTTATAAAAGTCTAAACACTTTATTAATATAGTATACAACCAAGCACATGTGGTCAGAACACAAACGAGTCGCAGGTTATGAAGTATTAAGTGTTTCTCCCAAAGAAGAGCCAGTCTAATCAAAATGCTAGCAGCCGTCTGTAGCTTTGCTCACACTCCGCCTCTTTGCCCATTTTTGGTTACTCCCGGTTGGTGCAATGACGTGCGATCAAAATGGCGACGGTTGGCCACGCCCACTTGTAGCTTTATTTGCAGACTTCAGAAACCTATGGGTGACGTCACAGATACTACGTCCATATCTTTTATTGTCAATGATTTTAACTTTCTTTATTGAGTTTCAAAGAAGCTGATGTCCCACACAGAATAAGGACATAATAACAGGTTATTTTATTAATGGGCCACTCACACATACATAAAGATATTGATTTTGTAATACAATATAATGGATTTGTTCACATAAGTTGAGGCGAAAGCAAAAAAAACCCATTCTAAACAGTATAATACAATGTTTTTGCGTAATTATGTAAAAAAAAGAAAGCTCAAAGTTATAGAACAACAAACTCGTGCATTAATGTCTGAGCGCAGCTGACAGACATTTGATGTTCAATATGAAAAACCCTGTTTGTCTTGTGGAAACATACGCTACAAAAATCATTCAATCCATGAACAAAGAACCATAACCTTTCCAAACAGCACATCCTTCACCTATAAAGCCTCAAGATTCCCAAAGGAACAGCGTTTGTGATGGTTAAACCACTTACTAAAGGACATTAAAGTGCTTATTTTAAAAAAAACACCAGACATCTGTGCGGTAGCAGGAGAACGTGTGACATTCTCCAGCTCAATTAAAAACTGTCACTCGTATCTCATAATGAAACAGCAGAAGGAAAAACATTCAAGACAAGAAGAAAACAGCAGCTTGGAGAAAGACAGAAACTCTTCTTAACATCTCATTCAATGTAAAAAGGCTCAGAAAGACTGACATTGATCATAGAGTTTAAAAAGTCCAGATTTAAAACTTAAGAGCGCTGGACAGACGAGTGTAGAAAGAGAGAATGATCTGCTACTGATATCCTACTTTCAGACTCTCCTCGTTGAGTGTTTCTGCTCCAGTCTGCACGCTAACAGCCGAGCACATGTGGTATGTTTGTGATTGTTTACCTGTGGACACTAGTGTGCTGCTGTGTGTTTAAAAGTCATTGAGGATGGAGATGTCTGCGAACTCTTTGCGATATCGATGCGAGTAAAGGGTCAACAGGAAGGACCACTTCAAGCTCATGAAGCTCCACACACATGACAGGTACAGACTGGTGGGATCTGTGAGCGCTGCGGACACAAAAAAACAGCACTTTCTTCAAAACACGTCACATAGTTGAAGACAAAACTACAATTTCACAAGATTTCACATAGTTTTTTTAAACATATTTCCCATGTGATGTTTAACAGAGCAATTGTTAAACATTTTTTTTTTTACAGTATTTCCTTATATATTTTTGATTCTGGAGAGTTATTTCTTTCAGTTTGGCTAAAATTTAAAAATAGAAAAAACAGGAATAGTCCCAGTGAAATCAAAATGTAGTTTTTGAGGTATTATGATAGTCTAATGTGTACTAGTATCTTGCCATAGATATATACACTAGATATCGCATACGGACCCTGAGCATGTGTCAATAGCGCCGCCACATTTGTACAGTGCTCCCAGGACAAACGTCATTCAATTGCACTAGTAAAGACTAAAGCCAGTGTGAAGATGTTGGAGTTTAGTGCTGTGTACGGGTGTTGTAATGAGCAAACAAAGTACATAGGCAGAACATTTCATAGGCACCATTTTGTTTTTTTAAAGATTTTGAATATTAAACTTTTGTGCTAAACGAGTATTGATAATAATAAAGTCTCTTACTGCCTAAATACTAGGTTTATGCGATTTTTGTTGAGTAAAATCAGCAAAAAATGTAAATGAAATAGGACAAAAAGATGCTGCGGTGCTAGAAACTTATTGTCGCTTAAGTGAACGAGTCGTTCATAACAGGGATTCATTCACTAACGAACTGCTCCCTCCGTTAACATTAAGTGAAAGCAGGAGTGGAGGTGTTTTTCAAGACAAGGATTAGATCTAATTTAACAGGGAGGGAGCATAATACATTCCATGTACACAAACACTTGCTCTTTGCAATGCCCGTGCTGTCACTGATCCATCAATGCAGAAAAGTGATGTAAAATTATCATTTTAGTCATTTAGATAAAATATTTGCATACTGACCTCTGGGAAAAGATAGATATAGATATATGTATATATGTGCATATATCTCTGGCTCTGGATGGCCAGTCGTCCACTGCACATGGGTCCCACATTCATTTCAAAGGGGCGCTACCCTGTACTAAAATGGCAGCTCTGTTGACACATTCCTTCCAATAGACAATAGCCTGAGTGACATCTAATGTAAAGATTTATGGTGTCTTGCAAGCTTGTAAAATATGCACTGTTATCAAAGGCAAAGACAGAAGACATTCAATATTAAAACTGTTTTAGAACTATTTGAAAAAAAAAACTTGTTGTTAAACAACTTAGGAAATATCTGAAAAAAATAGGGTAAACACAAGAGCCAATTTTTGCATTTGTGTAAAGGAGCAATTTTTAGCAATATGAAATGATGAGTCGTCTCAAATTAAGACTGACAAACATTGGTGTGTAACACCTGACAAAAAGGTGTGTAATATACAAAATTATTACAAAAGAATTGAACCTGGAGATGCTCTAAAATCACCCTGAATTTATTCATTATTAAAAACGAGGTATATTTGCATTACAGGGTTTATTGCAATAAATGTAGTTTTTTTTAGCTTGCGTTATTTTAGCACTATAAAGTTTTGCATCATTGAAGTTACTGTTTTTATCAAAAATTTACAATTTAATACTATTAAATTATAATAAAACTAGTAATATAATTTCATTCGTTTTTTATAAAAACGTAACAATAGACAGCACCGAGAAAAAATACACACAGTTGAAGTCAGAATTATTAGCCCCCCTTAGATTTTTAAAAAAAATTCTTTTTAAAATATTTTCCAAATGATGTAAGAAAAGTCTCACAGTATATGTCTGATCATATTTTTTCTTCTGAAGAAAGTCTTATTTGCTTATATATAGTAAAAATTATTTGCCCTCCTGTGAATATTCTTTTTCGAATATTTCCCAAATGAAGTGTAACAGAGAAAGGATTTTCAATAATATTTTTTCTTCTGGAGAAAGTCTTATCTGCTTTTATTTCAGCTAAAATAAAAGCAGTTTAGAAAAAACATTTTAAGGTCAATATTATTAGCCCTCATAAGAATTTTTTTGATTGTTTACGGAACAAACTATCATTTTACAATGACCTGCCTAATCACCACCTAGTTAACCTAATTAAACTAGTTAAATCTTTAAAATGCACTTTAAGCTTTTAATACTAGTATCTTGAAAACTATCTAGTAAATATTATTTGCTATTAGAAATAAGTTATTATGTTTAAAATGTGTTGAAGAAAAAACTTCTCTCTGTTCAACAGAAATTGGGGGAAACATTAAACATTTTAAATTTAACAGGAGGAAATTATATTAATTCTGACCTTAAGTGTATATAATGTTCAATATTTATGTTTTAGCTTCAGGTAACCTCAATACCCTTGTTCGCATCTATCTCTGTTCAAGAGATATGGGAGTGATTGCATCTGTACTTACACTGTTGGCGTGAGATGGCGACACAGAGGAAAGAGATGAACGCGACGATGGACAGCACCGAGAAAATGACACCCATGGCCATGAAGAACTTCAGGCCCTTTAACCATGTTCTCCAGTAGTCCTGGATGTACATGATGTGTGTGACCAGAGCCCATAATGCCAAAACTCCTGAAAAAAAAAAACACACAATAAGCAAACACATCTCTGACTCGGCACTCATTACTGCTTTGTCATTCTCACATGCATGAAAACTACTGGGTTTCTGTGTGACAGCACTATTATATTCTCTCAGCTCTGCTAGATTTGCAGAAGAGCATTCTGTGATATTACACAACACAGCAGAAACTCCCTAACCAACATTACCATACTTCCATATTAAACACTGCGGTGATGGTGGGTAGGACGTTTACTATAGTCAGAAGTAATACAATAAACTCATGTGAAATTTCAAACAGTGACTGCAAAGCTGTGTGTGATTCCGGTGTATTTACTTTACAGGTATTTTTGTAATCTTATAAATGGAGAGTATTTGTACACTTTGGTGTGTGCAAAAGTGATTTAAAGTATCTATTTTAATGTCAAAGTATGGGTTAAACAATATTCCTTTCTCCTTCAGAGTAACATGTATTCATGTAAATACAGAATAACATGCATTCATGTGAATGAATACATTATAATACTTATTTTGAAATCAGTGGCCAAAATCAGTGGTTTGACAGATGGTGGCAAGTGGTTTAACAATGTTAAATGCTAAAGAATGAGGATTTTGTGGCTGTGCTGTGACCTTGTAAAATGTCTTTTTATATGATTATTTCTTTAAATATGCATGAAAAGATTTTTACATACTCAACGGCCACTTTATTAGGTACACCTACAGCTCGTTAACACAAATTTCTAATTAGCCAATCACAAGGCAGCATCTCAATGCATTTAGTCATGTAGACATGGTCAAAGACGATCCGCTGCAGTTCAAACCGAGCACCAGAATGGGGAAGAAAAGTGATTTAAGTGACTTTGCACGAGGCATGGTTGTTGGTGCCAGACGGGCTGGTCTGAGTATTTTAGAAACTGCTGATCTGCTGGGATTTTCACGCACAACCATGATCTCTAGGGTTTACAGAGAATCGTCTAATACAGGAAAACATTTAACGTCTAACTCCAGCTGAATAATGTGCCATGTCATATAGCATGAATCATCTCAGACTGGTTTCTTGAACTTGACAATGAGTTCACTGTACTCAAATGGCTTCCACAGCCACCAGATATCAATCCAATAGAGCACCTTTGGGATGTGGTTGAATGGGAGATTCGTAACATGGATGTGCAGCTGACAAATCTGCAGAAACTGTGTGATGCTGACATGTCAATATGGACCAAAATCTCAGAGAAATGTTTCCAGTACCTTGTTGAATCTATGCCACGAAGGATTAAAACAGTTCTGAAGGCAAAAGGGTACTAGTAAGGTGTACCTAATAACGTGGCCGGTGAGTGTATGTAATCTATTATAATTTACATTTCAGTGGGTATCGTATGTAAATCACTGAAGAAATGAAGATGGCCATAATAAATCAATTTATGACTAACTACTGACACAGGGGAAAAAATAATATAAAGCTCTACTAAAAGTTTTTGTATGCTTTAAAAAATGTTTATTTTAGTCTTTGATCCACTTTAAAATGCAAAAAGATTAAAGGTGATTTAATGCAGCAACTAAAATATGCCCAGTTTTAATTCAAATTTAACCTAATTGTTAATCTTAACCCTGTTTAAACAGTTAAAGGTCATTTTGGCTGTCAAACATCCAATAACTAAACACACAAAAAGATCAGCAAAATCAAGACATTCCTTTATGATTCTCTTGCACAACACCAACTCAAAGACCTCGAGCACAGTGACGGATCAAAGTGCACTAAGAAACTAAACGTTTAAGGAAAAAAACACTGTTCTGGACAAAATTCCTCAAAGCTTTTATTTTGTTTTTGATTGTTGTTTGCCATGTTTTTCGCTTGAATACTAAAATTACATTTTACTTCTGCCTATAATTAAATAGGCAAAACTTTCTATCAAAAATGTAATTTTTTGCAAGTTACTTAAATAGATAATTCACCTAAAAATTAAAATGTTGTCATAAATAAATCATCTTTTACTTCTTTAAAACCTTTATGAATTATTTTCTCTGTTAACCACAAAAGAAGATATTTTGAAGAATGCTGAAAACCTGTAACTATTGACTTCCATAGTATTTGTTTTTCTAGTTAGAGATTTTCAGCTTTCTTGAAAAAATCTTCTTTTGTGTTCAAAGAAATTAAAGAAAGATTATATTTTCTTTTTATGGAGAACTATTTCTTTAAAATCTACACCAAAACATTCAAATCCATGTTAACATTTTTGTCCTAAAATTGGGATTTGCCAACACAACACATCACAGGCTCTTTCCGAGTTGGTCAGTGATGCCCACCAATGCTGTCTATGTTAAGTTGGTTAGTTCACCTTGAGACACAGCCAAGGAATTTACCTGATAATCCTCCCATCGCGGCGGTCCACGGCTGTTTGTAAGCGATGTTCCACACCAGAAACGCCGAAAAGCCCACCAGCATCCCCATACACGAGTAGCCCACGCGAATATACGTCTTATTGAACGCCATTCCTGTCGTCAGATCCACCTGAATGAACAAGGAAAATACTCTTCAAACAACAAAGAACTATCCAGATGCTAAAAATAGTTGTTGTGGGGAATCCGCGCGTTTGACCTGGAGACAGCGGTGAAATCCAGCTGTAGTTGTTATCGCCACTAGTGGAGAAATGTCATTCACTGGGGCTTTATAAAGAAGAGAGAGTCCGCCTCAGTCGATCAATCCACATCTACCGTCATTTACTGCTCCATAATGCGTCGTGTGGGGTGTTTGTTGCTCTTCGCAGAGGTTCAGCTCAGGAGCAAAAGTGAAATCATGCGTCTTTTTGACAGAGAACAGCGACGCCTGCGGGTGTGGAAGAGAAAATATGCGGCCGTCATTTACTCACGCTCAAGTTATTCCAAACATGTGAGTTACTTCTTTTTGCTTTTACATTTTAATGTTTACTTTATAAATGTTTGAATGTGCATGAGTGTGCAAAACGGTGTATAAATTCCTCTATTAGCAAACGCCTAGCAAGAAACATCCAGGGTGGATGCTGCACAGTGCACACTGATAGTGAATGAAGAGATTCCCCCCAAAAAATGTGTAACATGCTTTCAGTATCCAGAAAAGTGATATATAAATGTAAGGAATCATTAATTATTATTATTATTATTATTTCGTAAGTCAACCAGGGCTTAATTTGTGCCGGAACATGCCGGATCCGGAACCTCATTTTACCGATCCCCCTTCTCAATCGTCCACTGTTTACTTTCACTTTCGTCCGCGACACCCCTGGCCATCCACCGCACCAACCACCATAGTCGCCACACCGAACCCCCACCTACTCTCCACTTTCGTGCGCGACATCCTCTCTATCCTCGGGTAACGTAACATGCCGGATCCGGGGCAGGATACCACCTACTCTTTTTCACAGGACATTCTGGGATTTTTTAATGACCACGAAGAGTCAGGACCTCGGTTTAACATCTCATCTGAAAGTGAGCAGTATCGAGTCCCCTTCACTATACTGGGGCGTTTAGACTCACACAGACGACAGGTTGAGCGCCCCCGGTTGGCCTCACTAACACCACTTCTGGCAGCAACCTAGCTTTCCTATGTGGTCTCCAGGTACTGATCAGAAGCAGCACTGCTTCAGTGGGCAGCCATGTGAGATTTGCTGCCAGCATTTTCAAACGAATGAAGCCAATGCTGTTACAAACATTCTTCAAAATATCTTACCTAATATATTCATCATTTTGTATTCACATTTTGTGAATAGTGTCTAAATGGTGTATAAATTCCTCTTTTATACACTAGATGTCACCAAAACTTCTAAAATACAATTTTGTAACACATTTTGCTGGGTATAAATCTAGTTCTGACATAACACTGTTGCATTGCATTTTCCTGGAAACTTTTAGTTTTGACTGACAACATTTTGTAACATTTTACCAGGTATATTCTGACATTTCCTAACATGACATTTTGCCTTCTAGTTCTGACATTTTGTGATATCTAATTCATACATAATATTTTGTCACTAACAATGAAAATGGCAGATTCTTAGCATATTACCACAATAAAATGATGTACATTTGTTATAAGACTCTAATTTATTTTATCATATACACTACCGCTCAAAAGTTTGGGGTCAGTAGGATTTTAAAATGTTTTAAAAAGAGCTTCTCCTGCTCACCAAGGCTGCATTTATTTCATCAAAAATACAGTACAAATAGTAAAATGTTATGTCACTGTAAAATAACTGTTCAAAAGTAGTTTTTCATTTAATCATTTATTCCAGTGATTTAAAGATGAATTTTCAGCGTCATTACTCCTGTCTTCAGTAACATGATCCTTCAGAAATCACTCTTATTTTAATTATTATTATTTTATTAATATTATTGTTGTTGGTAATAGTAATAAAAGCAATGATGACTGGAGTAATAACTTCATTTGAAAATACATACAATAACAAAGCAGTTATTTAAAATTGTGGTAAATATTTAACAATTTAACTTTTTTTTTTACATTTAGTAAATGCCGCCTTGATGATCAGAATAATTTTCTTTAAGTTCTTTCATCAGTTGGAAAAGAATATCTTTTGCATAGATTATTATATAGAGAATTTTTTTCTTTTTTCTGATTACTGATCAACTGATTTCTGACCAACTTAATTAATTACAGCAACTCAGCAATGCCTCTTTTTTTGAGGTATTTATTATGACACAGACAACATATACAATTATTTTAATCACTTTCAACAGTGTTTTATAAAAACTCAAAGGGTTTTCTTTAAAATGATACCAAACATTTGCATTTACACCTCTGCATGTGGATTTAGGAAGCTTTTGAACTTGGGTTGGCAAAATCCTGGCGGAAACCCCAAAATAGCTTCTATTTTTAAGAGGTTAACCACTTAGGGGGGGGGGGGGGGGCAGTATGGAGCTTTAAAATTGAAAGAATGTAGAAGTAAATGACATCACAGACCCGGTACTGAGTCTCAGAGTTTAGGAGGTAAAAAAAAAAAAAAAAAAAACACATTACAAATAAATAAATAAATATAAAACTAAAACTGAATGTAGCTCTGGGGTAGAAACTACACAATCCTTTTTTTATATATTGACTTTTGGCCTATCTACATTATAATTTAACTTCTAAAAAACTGAAGACTCTTCTCATAGTTTATAGAATAAAACGCAAATTAACAATTTATTCAAAATGCTGTAATGGTCAATTCAGAAAATTAATTCTTTCCCAGAGCTGTATTTTAGTATCAGTAAGAAAAGTAAGTACGTTTACTACACTGAAAACAATTATTCAAGGATCAGTCCTTGGATTTACTTAATTTTTTTAAGTTGAGTGGTTGTAAACAATTTATTTGCGCTGCATTTAAACTGATAAATTTTGACAAGTTTGTTTAAATTCAACATTTATAAATTGTTTGCAACAATTTTTCAGACATCACTTTTGTGAGTGTAGCAGTGAATGTTCAATGCTATTAAAGGATGTACTGGAATTTTCCCACTTTTTTCAGCTTTTAACTTTATTGTAGAAAAAGAACAGATATTCTCTGTTCATATTAGAAAACTGCTTCACAGTGAACATCAGAAACTTTTTTTGGTCCTGTAAACATTGTCACAAGCTTGGTAGTCAACCTTTAACACTGAGTTTTATGAGAAACAACAGACGGTAAACATTACAAGACACACATAGAGCCACAAGATGCTAATTCAACAGAAACTGTATTAATATTCACCACTTGAAAATGTTTAAAAATATATATTTTTTGTACACAATATACTGGAACGTTCATAAGTATTAAACAGTGACAAATGATAAATGATGTGTAAATCTAGTGATTGTTATTAGGATCTATAAAAGTCAGAGAAGATCTGAAAATAAAGGACTAAGACTGTCTGCAGGGTCGAGTCCGCAACAGGAAGTTTGTAAAGACAACAAATGACAAGACAAGAGTGTCTTTCAAGTCTAGAGCACAGTGCAGACAGAGTTCATATTACAACATCCAGTCATGAGGACACTCCACAGGCACTGAAGGGGCTTTGGGTTCACATGGCGCCCTTCATGAGGTGATGCGCTCGATCTCAGACTCCTCCACGATGCCGGAGAGAAGAGTCAGATCCTTGTACTGGATCCAGTCCTGCTCTCTCACTCCCCACACAAAGCCGTCAGGCTGAAACACAATATTACAGGACTGTTTAATGGTGCTAACAGGTTTCAGGCTGTTTTATTAAATTAACACATTAAAGGGTTAGTTCACTCAATAATTACATTTCTGCTAATAATTCTCGTAATAACATCATGTTTACTACTGACAATACAACCTACTGAGGATAAGCAATGGGACTGTTTACTATTGTCCACAGTTAATATAACAAGTAAAGTTCTTAGACAAACATTCTGGTGGTTTGAGAAAGCCGAGTCTGAAAGTTTGAAGTAGGTTTAAAAGTTAAAATATTTTAAGACATTAAGAAATTTGAAACATTTTAGCATGTTTCTATTCTGGATTGACATCTTTCTTGCAAGGCGGTTGCTAGGGTGTTCTAAATGGTTGCCAAGGTGGTGCTAGGCAGTTGCTAGAGTGTTCTGAATGGTTGCTAGGCAGTTGCTAAGGCATTGCTAGGCTGTTCTAAGTGGTTCCTAAGGTGTTGCTAGGTGGTTGCTAGGGTGTTCTGAATGGTTGCTAGACAGTTGCTATGGGGTTCTGAGTGGTTGCTAAAACATTGCTAGGATGTTCTCGGTCATTGCTTAGGTGTTATGCAGTTGCTTGGCTGTTCTGAGTGATTGCTAGGTTGTTGCTATGGTGTTCCGAGTGGTTGCTAAAGTGTTGCTAGGTGGATGTTTAGGTGTTCTGAGTGGTTGCTAGGCAGTTACTAAAGCATAACTAGATGGTTGCTAGAGTGTTCTGAATTGTTGCTAGGGGCTTGCTATGGTGTTGAGTGGATGCTAGGCAGTTACTAAGGCATTGATAGATGGTTGCTAGAGTGTTAAATGATTGCTAAGGTGTTGCTAGGGTGTTCTGAGTGGTTTCTCAGGCATTGCTAGATGGTTGCTAGGGTGTTCTGAGTGGTTGCTAAGGCGTTGCAAGGTGGCTGCTAGAGCGTTCTAGGTGGTTGCTAAGGTGCAGCGGTGATGTTTGCGCGCGAGGAGAAGTGAACCGTGAGCAGATTACAGGTCTACACGCGAGAAAACTACAGCTCGCGAGCGCACAGGGGATCTTCACGCGCGCATATATATATATATATATATATTTAGGTATATATATCTGCATACCTTTTCTTCTTCATCATCTACAAACGTAAGGATCAGATCTCCCTTTTCAAACAGAAGCAGCACACCTTCATCTGAGTCTTGACTCTTCAGAGCAACAGCCTGAAAAATAATCGAAACAAAAACATCAACGACACAAATCAATCTTACAGGAGAGTTGTCAACAGACAAAAGTTCTGTCATGACTTAACAGCAAAACTCAGTCCAAGGCACTCGAAAAATGCTTTAAAATCCTTAAAAACACCTACATGTTTCACTTTGCCGAAACGCATTGGTTTTTTAAGGATTAGTCATGTCAATAAAGGCTTTTTAATATTTTTTCCACATTTTTCGAGTGTCTTGGACCAATTTTTGCTGTTTGAATCCCTTGTCCAAAGAGCACTGACACATTATTTAAGCTTCCCCGAGCTTTTTGTTTGATTTTGGATTTCTGTCATGACTTATTCAGATGACT